ATATTGTATAATGTTATTGAAATAATGTTAGTTTATAAATTCAGTTAAAATTACCCTCTTTTAAAAAAAACATAGTTTTTTTGGTCGTCAAAAAATTCAAATTTAATACAACTTCTGGTTTGCCAAGTGATTTCATCCATCGCTGCAATGAGTTTATTGCGGTATAAATCTGAATGAGTCAAAAAGATTTTGTTGTTACAAAAAGCCATTATAGTAAAATGAGGCACCTACACAATTCCGATGAAATATCAAAATAAACAATTCCATCTTTCCAAAACCTGACCGGAGAGGATTGGCTAAGAACTGAGGCTTCGTCAAATTCATAGTTTAACATGTCATCGAACTGGCGAACCCTACTGCTGTTTAGTGGCTTTGACAAACTGCCAGCTGTATAACAAAAGATTATAAGATGTTTGCAATTTTAATTAGATAGTAAAACTCACTCAAAAAAAGCCCAAACAGCACTGTTATCAGCATCAATTTCATAATTATTCAGGCAACAAGCACTTGCTTTAGCAGCATCAATTTTTTATTAAGCAAGGTCATCAACACCTTTCATTTATATCAACGTAAACAACAACTTTTTAGAGCAACTCTAACGTTGGAATGTTTGTGAGAAACAACTGGCCAGGTCACAAGATATGAGAGAGGATTCTCAAGTGGACTGCATCGATTTAAAGTGGTGCGTACTTTTATTTTTGATTTTAAAACACTAACAAGTTTAAACAGTATGCATTCAATTTTATCTATCAGTTTTGTACAAAAAATCCTATTTATGCAAACAATATAAAAAGAGTTTTAAAAAAAACTATTGCACTCTCAAAAACCTAAAAATACTCAACCATGATTTACTGAATATTTTACATATTTTCAATTATTTAAAAGTTACCATAGTAACTATCTAGAAACGCAAACAAAATTATATTTTACTTTGACATTATAGCTACAGTTAACGGCAACTACAAAACCCAAAATTCGGTAGTTTGACCAGATAACTGACCATTCATTTTCGAGAGAATAAAGGAATACATTTTGACAGAATGATTTTGTAGCTGAAATCAATTTTTCAAATTGGTGCGATTTTGGCGCCATCTTTGTTGCTTTTAGGAGACGCTTAAGCAAATGTTTTGATTCGCAAAACGCACTCGCAACGGTTGTTAGAAGCTCACGTGTTCGAGAAGTTCTTTGCTTATTGATAATTGCATCATTGCATCAATTTGCATCCGGTAAGTGTACTGAGATCAAAAGCGTCCTGGCAATCAACAGTTGCTTGAAGGCATTTATAATTGTTTAAATGTTTACTAACAAAAGTGTATTTGTAGCGTTACCGGCGTTTTCAATGCCTGGTCATTACGAAAAAGCCGATCCAAACTTGGACAAGAATGTAGTGCATATAAGCCAAGTACCGGAATTTAAGCCTTATAAATACTACCCTCATGATGAACAGCCGGATCACTCTAACGACTGGGGCAACAATTCCCTTAATCGTCCAAACTGGCTCTATGGCACTTTCTGCCAAGGGCACTTTATTGTGAGCTTTGATGGCCTGCAACTGGCCGACTGTCAGTGCATTCCGATGTGTTTATCGTCAATCATATATTCGAATCTCTACCCCAACTATTCCCATCGACATTGGAGTAAGGCGGACATCTATCGCATTCTCAATCAGGGCAACAGACTGTATGCTCAACACTTGGACTGTGCCACTCCAGCTCAGAGGAAAAAGCTTCAGAGAGAAGATTACTTTCTTGCTCAGAGCTCAATTTTAGAAGAAAATTACATCTACGGAAGAAAGTTTATAGTCGAGCGAAAAGAATTGCTTTATGGGTACATTCTTGGTGGTAAAAAGAAGAACGGCGGTCTAATCAACGACCTAATTGAACTCTTCAACCAATCATCGAAATACGGCATTTTGATAGCGAAAAAAAGCTGCCGGGCCATTTGGGCAGCAGACGGAAAATACTTTATTTTCGACCCCCACGCGATATCTCCTCATAAAACTGCTGTGCTTATTGAAAATGATACGATAGAAGACTTGTTTCAAGACCTCAAGTCTCTTCTAAACTGTGAGGATGACCAACTTGTAAAAATGCCTTATGATTTAATTCCTATTGGCATAAACGGCGTAAGTGTAACTTTGTGAGTTTTAAGCTTTTTAAAACTAACCGTGTTTTTCCATTTCAGCCTAGCTTCAACGGTCTGCCGGAAAATGATGACATTGCTCTTTGTTCAATGGATAAGCCAAAAGAGCTTGAAACAAACTATAATGGTAAAGAACTCACAAACATGATTAGTAAAGTTAATTATGATGTTCACAAACTAGCCTCCAAAGACGAAACACACGAAACAGATGATGTGCAATCTTCACAAGTATGTATTTGCAAACGAATTTGTCAAAGAACTTAAAACTTTTTTTTAACTTTTCAGGCAGAAAATGGCCACGATGAAGATCAAACGTCACAGCTTTTTACCGTTCCTGATTTTCCCACTGAGCATGAAATGCAAAACAGTCAGCATGAATTCATTAAGAATGAAGAACCAAATGTGCCTTTACCCATTCCAGAACAAGTGCCTAATGCCACAAGTGAGGAAGCATCAAAAACAAAAGTTTCCTTCATACGAATGGAGACAAGATCCAGTAAACGGAATCAGCTTCTCGCAACTATCTCAAATGGTCCAGTTGCTACAGCTGTTGATAAAGCAAAATCAACGGAAATAGAGAAGTCAGTTTCAAACACACGTCGTCGTGGTAAAAAGGCCACTAAACCATCCACTGAGATATTGCTAAATACTTCCGCCACAGAAGTAACTTCTATGAAAAGAAAAACTAGATCTCAAAGCGCCGCTGTTCAAAAGGATTCGCTTTCTAAACGTACAGCTCAAATGAGTAACGATCAACCAACAGTAGCACCGAAAACAAAGACAGTTCAGTCAAAGTCGAATTTACCTGGGAAATCAAAGACACAAAGTTCTGGAAAATCTGTTAAATCACTGGCAAATACCATTTGCGCTGAATCAGCCAAAGTTGATACTTCTTCAAACATAAGGAAATTGAGATCATGTGCGAAAAAACTGCTCAAACCTCATTCAACTACTTCGCCTCAGTTAAATGGTAAAAAGGGGAAAAATGGTAAAGTCAAAGCAAAATCAAAGTCAAAGCAAAACTTACAAACGGCCCATAGTTCTTTGTCTACTGGACCATCTGAAAATCCAAGTCGGATTACTACACGAAATTCGAATCTGCAGAAATCAACGTCCGCTGATAAGCTTAAACCAGCTTCCAAAATGACCCGAGTAACTAAAAAGTTGAAGAGTTAGTAAGAGAGTTTTTATTTTTAATACTGTAAATCTTTTGAAATTGAAATTAAAATGCAGTTTTTTAATCCTGTTTAATTAATTTTTTGGTGGCGCTCAAAAATTTGTTTGCTACCGTTTTCCACCTGACACTGCCTTTCGGTCAAAATAGTCTCTTTTTGCGCCAAAACAAAATACAAAGCCGCTGTTTGAGCATCAGACTTCAAATTCTTGTGCCATTCAACTCCTCAAAGTTTAAAGAACCGATCTTTGATAACAACATCTTCAAGTATGGAAGTCGCATTGAATGAGCCAGCAGCTGTTCGAATTATCGGAAATCTTATGGGAAATTACATCAACGCTAAGGCGGTTATCCGCGGCACTATTACTAAAGTGAGTATTTTTGTTGAAATCCAACTATTGAATTGTACATATTCTTATACTTCTTCTGCTCGTAGATTGAACCAGATGGTAAAAAAGGAACAATGAAGACCACTGACGAAGAGTTCATTCAACTTCTGTTTGAAAAGCAGGTAAATGCGTGTGGTTTTCAACTTGATTAATTCATTTTCATTGCCTGTTTTGCATCTGTTTTGCTTTCTAGGGTAACAACGCTATCCCCGGTTCTCTGATTGAAGCAGTCGGCCAGGTGATGAGTCGTAATCAATTCAGAGTGGTCAACTTTGTACAGTTTCCAGCTGAAGCGCTTGCTAATTTTGGTAGGAAGGAATGATGAAATGTTTGCTACAATCTAACATTAAACTTCTTTTAGATAATGATCTTCACAAACAAATCATTGAAACCTTAATCAAGTATGAACATCTGTTTAATGTCGTGCCTGTCTCCGAAAATGACGAACCAGTCCTCAAGAATCTCAACAATGACTTTGCGTTTGTCTGGGATAATTAATTTGATAAACAGAGAATGGCAAAGTATCCTGTTTCTCTCCATTACTCGAGGATCTATTTTTAACTTTTCAGTCAAGTAATAATAAAATAAACCCTTTTAATAACGAATCGGTCTTGTAAATAAAATAGAGCATTGTACAAAATGGGGAAAAGTTGTTTGTATATATAGTCAACGAGTTAGACTGCGTTTGAAGGGGTGGTGATGGTGGTGAGGTGGTGGTGTCAAGAGGTGCGTGTTGCAGAAAAACGATGAGTAAAGCACATAAATAAATCAGTAAAGTATGATAGGGGAGGGGAGGGCTTGAAGAGAGAAAAGTGAAGATGCGGGTGTGATGATAATAAAATAGAGTAAAAACATTGAGTGAAGATTGGAGCGAACAAAAGAGCATGATGCAGTAAAGCACTAGAAGGTAGATTATACATTCGAAAGAAAACATTAATACATTCTGGCAGCCCCAGTTGAGAGATTAGCTGTAGAGAGGAAGCAGCATCAGCTGCTGTACATGCTGCCATACAGGGACTCCTCATTGTGTTGATTTTCAATGTGTTGATTCTCATCGTAGTGGTTTTCATCCTTGGAGTTGGTGTCCTGCGTCGTGCCCGGTGATGCCGAGCTACCGGCGCTGCCCACCGCTTCACCGCCCTCTGCGCAGTGGTTCGTCTGCTGGATGTGCTTGGCAAGCACCGCCGGCATGAGGAAGCCCTTGTTGCAAACGGAGCAGACGTGCGGAAACTTTTTGGTGTGAATGGCGATGATGTGATTACGCAGTGAGCTGCTCTGGTTGAACTTGTGGCCGCACTCGTTGCACTGGTAGGGCTTCTCTCCGGTGTGCGTCAGCATGTGTCGTTGAAGGTGAGATTTGGTTTTGAAGGATTTACCTTTAGGACGAAAGCAGATATGTTAGGTTGGATGTGCACAAAATTCCACCAGTGACGTTACTTACCATTTCCGCAATGAGAACAGTGGAACTTCCTCCTGATTCCATCAGCGCCAACTGTGATGCCATTGATGACGGAAATAAAGTTGATCCTCGGCTTGCGAT